GATTTTTATGCTATGATATCATACTGAATTTTAAGGTTCCACATCAAAAGGCAATCTCGTCAAAAAGAGTAGCTTAACCTTTATCATTATATTCTTGTTTAAATTAGGAATGGGACGCGGTTTGGTTCTAAAGCGTGTCGAACCAAACGGAGTATGAACGAGTATTTTGAAATGGAACCATTGGTTTTATCTCCAAGTATGGAATCGAACCAGAATCAGATCATTCGGTTTCGGTCCAATTTAAGTTCTCAAATTCACTAATCCATGCAAATAAAGTATCTGATTATATAAGTTCTTAAGATATAATTGTTTTGTATCTAAATTCTCTATAATCTATTAATTAAAATGATGTATATTGATGTTAATGATTTGCATTTTTCAAGTTTGACAAAAAGTGATAATTTACATCAAATGCTTAACTATTGACTTAAATGAGTTCTTCAAAAATATGTTCCAATATCACTTATATTTTATTTATACTTTGAGAGATCGGGAAAGAATGAAATGAATCAAAGCTTCTTATTAATCTAAAATCACATCTATTAAAACTAATGAATCCTTTTGTCCGAGCTTATAAAAACACAATATTAAATTGAATATGAATTTGATGTACTGTGGTAAAATTCATACGAAAAAGTACAATGGTTGGTAAATTGCATCATACAATGTAAAAATAAAAATAAAAATTTCGGGTTAAATTGGATTTTTGGATCTTGATATTAGAATTGATAATCAAATCGGAATCAACCCTTTCTCAATTTCAATACCTAGAATTGATTAGAACATGAGTAGAACCAGTCGTCCGACCATTCTAGATTCCAGTCTTATTCGGTAAAGTGGTTCTTAAAACCTTTGTTCACCCCTAATTTAAATGACAAATAAATTTACGCTTCACATATAGTTTGTTGAGACATGCATGGAATTGCGTTAAAGGAAAANNTGCATGGAATTGCGTTAAAGGAAAATAATTTATGAAGAGAAAAAGAAAATAGAAAAATGAAAGTATGTGAAGTATGACTCTTAAATAAAGAACCATTAGCACAAAAATTTGTATTCTGAACTCATCATGATTAAAACTTTCATAGAACAAGGTTAATACTGGACCTCGGTCAAATTAATATAATCCAAAGAGAGTGTGGTGGAGGTTGGAAAACTTTCACTCGTAGAACCTCCACCACATGGCCTCTTGACAACAACCACTACTTCAAAGGTACCTCACGTGACTATATGTCACTTTGAGAGCTCATATCAAGTCTCGTATAGCCTGAACAAAGAAGGTGCTTGATGTTTTATTAATTTGTAGAAAAGAATTGTATAGAAGGTTGGTGGGGATGAGTAATTGATTAGAGAGGTGGCTGTTGTGTGTTTTGAAAGGGGCATTGATAGGCAGGCAGCTAACTTATGGTGAGGTTGGATTGTCATCGGCATTTATTCAGATTTTATTTGTCACTTTTTGTAAGTGAAATGTATGTGACCACGTGGATCCACTTTAAACATTCATTTGGCGTCTCTCTTTTTTTTTTTTCCACTTAATTAAGTGTCTGTTTAGGAGTACTTATAAGTATCTTTTGATAGTTGAGTCCGTCAATTAAAAAAAATCCTGCTTAATAAGGAGTTTTTAATCACTGCCCCCAAATTTAACCTATTGTTTGTCTTGAGTAGATTATTTACTCAAACATACAAGCAAATAGGAATAAATAGTATTATTCGCCTTAGATTTTTAGACTGTTTGAATAATTCGTAAAAGACTTGTAAGGCATACGAGTGAGTCAATCTTTACTTGTCCAATGCTCAAATAATGTGTGTGCATAATCAGTCCAAATCACCTTAAATCTTTGAGCTAGTTATAACTCGACCCTCAATGATCAATTATTTCCCTTCTCCTTCGTGGGATGCATACACCTAAGTTGATATGCAATTTTACATCTGGAGTATTTATCCTAAAGTTACTTTCATACTGTTTATTTCTTTTCCACTCAAGTTTGTTTGAATTTACCCAATGGAAGAATCTATAGTTACCGACAACGACATCAAAACTTATTGTGGCGTAACGACAAGTGTACGATATCAAAGAAACAAGTGGTAAAGTGGAGCTAAAGAGTTCGGATTATTGTTTTCACGAGGACTATTTGTCTAAGTATTGGTTTAACTATGCCTAACTTCTATTTGAGTCAAAACAATTAAAATAATTTTAATAATGATTCTAAATATGATAACTCTATGAAAATAAGTAAAAAGTGTACAATAGACAATTTAGGGTTTTAGTTGATGTATGATAAGTACTTGAATTCCCGAGTTTATTGTAGCAATCCTCTTAATCTCAATCACCTGATTTCAAAAATTAAATGTGTATTGGTTAAATTTTTCTAACATCCAATTCTTTTAGTCACAAGGCCTCCCTCACGTGTCCTAACCCTTTAACACTTCATATATGTCTTCTAAGTCACATACTTCTCTTTCACCTATTTCCAGTTGGGGGCCATTTTGGGGCCGTTGCATTTGTTCAAGGGGCCTTGCCATGGAAGGTAGTTGCTGAGGTTTATTCTTAGGCATTTCAGGGCCAGTCATATCAAAGATGCCGGCGAACCTCTGAGGTCTTCATTTTTGCACATATTCAAGAGAGAAAATGTCCTCTCCATAAAGCGAGTCGTTTGTTGATCAGCCAAATGTGAAGTTTGATGACACGTCCACTCCTACCACCCTTTCAATAGGACTGGCGCTACTCCTGCACCTATTAGAATCATTACAATATAGATTGTGTGCAGCAAAAAGTTATTTAAGACGTATACTTGAATGCAGTATAAAGTCATGCCGTAAATACTCACCTATTTTTTACGGCATGCAATAAAAAAACAAAAGCGTGCCATAAATAAACTTTTTACGGTGTGCAATAGCACTCTGTAAATACTATCTTTCATTTCATAAAACGATGATATTTTCTATGGCATACTTTATCTGCATGCAGTAAATGTCCATTTAATTGGCACTATGAATATTTCAATACTATTCACATATTCAGTCAGTAATGCTAAACTTATTAGGCTGGGACAAAATGACAAATGTTTTGATGTAATAGGAGAGCAATTAGTATACTTATCGAGTTAAAGCATAGGGACAAGAAAGTACTATTTTGAGAAATTGCTTATCTTATAATGCAACAAGAAAACATAATTATTATAATAAGTGGATTTATTTCCAAAAGGGTTGATTCTTTGATGACCACATCATCTATCAAAGAACCACCATAATAAAAAGTATATTGAACTTACTGTCACAGTAATTTTTTTCTCTTTCAAAAGTTGTATCGAAATCTCAAATGCTTGAGAGAAGAAAGTTGATTTTTTTTTAAGAGATGACAAAATATTGCAATCAAATGAATAATCACTCAGATCAAGGGCCTCCAAATTTCTCAACTTTGACAATCTATTGAAAATCTTGCAATGAAATGAGAACACAATTGCATCTGCAAGTGATGGCATTGGAGCAATTGATAGGGATGGATAACTGTGGCAACAATTGGAAGTGGTGAAGCAACATGTTAAATGATTTTCCATCTTTGGAGGAGGACTCTAATGCTGACCAATGCCTTTTGTTCTTTTCATTCCAAGTAAGAATTGGATGTTGACAATGAGAACTCGCCTCCTTTTTTATGATGCTATGGTAATTGACGAGTTTCAGATATAGATGGTGAAAGTTATGATAGCCCTTCAATTAATATGAGAAACCTAATGTTAATTTCGACAGGTGGTCCAAAAAATCCAACCTTATCCTTGAATTTGTTGAAGTTAGTATGCCTAGTTCTCGAAATTTGTTTGGTGGAGCATGCTACTTTTACAAACAATCAAAATTTTCACCTCCATCGTTCACTAATCTTGAATTTTGCACATAATGTTGCAGAAAATGGTTCAATAACTAAAGTGCTTTTTCTTAATTTTATTCTTCAAAGATTACAAATTCGGACTACTGGTGATCTTGACATGCTAGCAATTTTATTTTTGTAAATTTTGTTGCTCTTCAACGAATTCTAGATATGTCATCAGTTATCAATTGAAAATCGTGTAGTATGGAAAAATTCTCGTGTGTGCACGAGAGAGATACACAACCACGTGTATTTTTTTTCTTTTTAGATTATGAAAAAGCTCTTTCCATTTCCAACTGTATTATATATAGCTAAATTTTCATGTTTACTTTTCAATATTTTAATATTTCTATTCTTTATAACAATGCTCATCACATTACATTCAATCACTCAATTGAAAAGCAACAACTTACAAAATCATATCTAAACACTAATAGTGCTACATAACATGATTTCTTAAATAATAAACTATTAATGATAATAATATATATACGACCTCTAGTCTTATCATTCAACAATTTAACTTCTCTTTTCCTGAAGACAACTTTTCCTAATGTCTACTACTTTCAAGATACAATTACTTTTCATAATGGTAGAACTCCCCCGATGACGAGAACAACAAACTGAATAATAGCTTGCACACTCTCTCTTTGACAAAATGTGACTCAAAAAAATGCAAAAATTCTATATATGGGCTAAGACAAAAAAAAAATTAATAAGTAAAAGAAGCTCAAATAAAAATCTTTCTATTAACCTAGTGTTTGATACTCAACTGTTATTTTAGAAATCAAATGCCATGTTTCTCCTTACCGTTTTTCTAAAAATAAATAAATAAATAATTGAAAAGAAGAAGACGCAGCAGCATTTAGCTTGGAAACAAATCACATTCCCATTTATTAATACAAGTACAGATAATTGAAAATCATTCCATACTTTTATGATTGAATATGCATACACATGCCCAAATTGGCTTCCTACCATGCTGATGCTGTTATATTTGGCTTCACTGCTTCGTTACTTGCGAATTATCAAATCTAGAAAGAAAAATGACAAAATTGATTAG